AGGAGAGAGAGCCAACGTTGTCAAAGGCTGAGGGAAAAAGACATGGGCCAGGACAAATTCTGCACTACAAAAGAAGCTCTTGTGCCTGTCACTAACGGAACTGCACTGTGCAGTTAAGAGTAAGGGTAAGTTAAGTAAGAGGGTACATCTCCCACCCAAGATTCTGCACCAATAGGAAAATAAAACTTTTCAAAAGAAAATCCTCACCTTAGAGAATGTTTTGAGGCTATGTGAGTGAATATATCAAGCAAAATGTGGCAAATGGAAGGAAGGTTTTAAATGTAGACCAGCGCTGTTATCTACTTACTAAAGATGAAAGGGCAAATTTCAAAAGCTGTAGTAAAATTCCCAAGGATGCAAGGTGAATATTGAACAAATCTGAATTCAGGTCACCTGTCTTGAAATCCCACTGGCCTAAATAGCAGACCCAAGGAGCAGACTCCTGGTGGTCCCTGTGACTTGAGTTAGAGATGGCCAGATATGGCAGGAAGGACCTAGCAACAAGACGCCAGTGAATTCTTTTTGGCCAACAACTGTGACAAAGCACCAGACTAAGGACACAATTACTGGTTACTGCAAAGCTGGCTGTGCCACATGTTTGAAGGCAGCATTGAAAGGACCCCAGTCCTCAGTGGGAAGACGGCACACACAGGAAGAGCTGTTGCCTGAGACTAGCTTCTCAGATGACACCCACCCCTGCTTCCCAAGTATAACACCCATCCACGCCTATAAAGTGTTACACCCATCCCTGCCCCTCTCATGTGACACCACCCCTGCATCTCACAAAAGACACCCACCCCCTGCCTCTCTATGCTGACACCCACCCCTGCATCTTTCATACGACACCACTGCCTATGTTTGACCTAAAACCCCATACACAAGGCTAGTACTCCACAACTGAGCATTATCCATTTTCCTTTTTATTTTGAGACATCTCAGTAAGTTGCCCAGGCTAGCTTAAACTCAGTTTGTAGCCCAGGCTAGCCTTAAACATGTGGTTCTCAACCATCCTGAGTGAGGTAACCCAGACACAAAAAGACAAACATGGTATGTACTCACTCATATATGGATTTTAGATATGGATCAGGGGAGTCTCAGCCTACAATCCCAGGGCCAGTGAGTCTGGAAAACAGGGAGGTTCCCAAGAGGTGCATGATACCCCAGAGAAGTGGAATGAGGCAAGATCTCCTGAGCAGATTGGGAACATCAGGAGTGGGGAGAAGGAGCCAGGAAAAAGAGAGGGGGGATAAGAGGTGGGGAGAAGAAGGCATTGGGGAGCAGGAAGGTTGAGTCAAGGTAAGAATAGATGAGAGCAGGATGAGAGATACCATAATAGATGGAGTCATTATAGGCTTGAGGAGAGAGCTGACACTAGTGAGATCTCCAGAGATCTACAAGGATAACACCAGCTGGCAAACTAACCAATAGTGGAGAGACTACATTAAATGCCCCTCCTTGATGATAAGGTTGATGACTACCTTATATGCCATCCTAGAACCTTCATCCAGTGACTGATGGAAGCAGAGACAGATACCCACAGCTAAACACTGAACCGAACTCCTAGAACCTAGTGACAGAGATAGAGGAGTGATGAGCCAGGCAGTCAAGACCATGATGGTGAAACCCACATAGACAGCTGACCAGATAAGGGGGAGCTCTTGAATCCCAGACTGGTAGCTGAGAGGCCAACAGGGGACTGATCCAGACTCCATGAATGTAGTGCCAGTGAGGAGGCCACAGAAATCAATGTTTACCATGGTGTATGAATGATCTTTGGGAACCCATTCCAAATAGAGGGATGCTCTCTCAGCCTGGACACATGGGGAAGGGCCTAGGTCCTTCCCTGGATGAAATGACAGACTTTGGAGATCTCCGCAAGGAGGGCCTCACCCTTCCTGGGGAATGATGTGGGGATGGAGTGGGGGGGGTAGGGGGTTGGTGGAGGGACAAGGGAGGAGGGGTGGGAGAGAAAGCTGGGATTGACATGTGAAGCATTCATGTTTCTAATTTAAATTAAAACATAAATTGAGGAGAAAAAAAAAACATGTGGTCCTCAGTCTCCCAGGGGCTACAACTACAGGCCTAAACCACCAGAACCAGCTTCATAAATTTTTATTTTTTTGTTTGTCTGTTTTGCTTTATGACAGGTTTCTCTGTGTAGCTTTGGAACCTGTCCTGGAACTCACTCTGTAGACCAGCCTGACCTTGAAGTCACATAGATCCGCCTGCCTCTGCTTAGCAAGGACTGGGATTAAAGGAGTGTGCCTGCGCCACCACTGCCCATCCTCCATGAATTCTTAAAATCATGAATATATAATTTAGTGAGAGCACATTTCACATAAAGCAAATAGAAACTGTTCTGTATGTGGGAGTATATGCAAGTTCCTGCCTAATCTGCTTATTTTATATGCATCCTTTGTCATTCATTCACTCCATGGTACTGTATCTCCCTTAGTCCCTCCCATACTTCCATGAAGCAGAAACATTAGCTTTCTTTTATAAAGAGAACTAAAGAAGTTAAATGACAAGGTCACAAAATGGCAGAGGTAGAATTTAAACCATATTTTCTTGGTTCCTTATTTTAACCAAAAAAGAAAAAAGAAAGAAAGAAAGAAAGCATTGGTTCATCATTTTTATTGCAGTGCTATATTTTATATTAGATGTATTTAATGGATATTTAGGTAAAATTCCCTACTGGTATAATAGTGTTGCTTTAGCACTGCTTGTCATGCATAAAAGCAACTCAGTAAGTGCAATTTTTCTACCAGTCTTATTTCTAAAACAATTTCCAATTGTAAATCCTTATACATCTCTTAAACGCTGTACAACCAAAGAATCTGGAGAGGGGATTATTATTCCTACTTTAACTGGTAGAAAATCTGACACATATAGAAAGTGACTTGCTCCAGTTAAAGATTTTAAAGTAGCTTCATGAACCTTGTTCTCCAAAATTTCCATCACAATTCATCCCGTACCTTTGGTAACACTTCCCGAATGAGTGACTAGAAAATACAGGTGCTAGGAAGAAGGCCCAGTGGTTTAGACCATTTCTCTGCATGCATAAGGACCTGAGTTCAAATATCCAGTACTCATATATAAAGCTATTTATGGCTTCATGTTCCTTTTTTTAGTAATTTATTTATTCTTAATTTATGTACATTGGCATTTTGCCTGCATGTATGTCTGTGTGAGGCTGTCAGCTCTTGGAGTTACAGACAGTTGTGAGCTGCCATGTGGGTGCTGAGAATTGAACCCAGGTCCTCTGGAAGGACAGTTAGTACTCTTAACCACTGAACCATCTCTGGTTGTGGTGGCTTCATGCTCTTGCAATTTCAGATTTTGGACATGGAGACAGATGGCCTCTCTAGCTAGCACACTAGCAGACTAGAAGAAACAACCAGCTTCCAATTCAGTGAGAGACCGTGTGCTGAAAGAATAGGCAGAGAACAGTAGAGTAAGAAGCCCAGTGTCCTACTCTGGACCATGTATATGTGTATATAGATATGCATAACCCATACCTACACATACATACCACACACTGTGCATATAAACAAAGCAGTATAATAATACAATCTTTCCTACAAATATAAACCATTGATATCTACATGCTAGTATCCCTATAGCCTTACAAACCACATTACCTTTGAGACAACTTATGAACATAAACCCAAGAATCTGGCAGGATTGCTTGACACCTTGGAGTCCAGTTCCCCTAGATAAGTTGCAAATATCACAAACATATGTTTACAGGCTATGAGCTGCTAGCAGGTCAAAAACGCCACCATGCTCTTGGTAGGAGAACAAGAGACTGGAAGAGAAGCAGAAGATGTATAGAGTATGGTCATTAAGAAGATGCAATGTGCTTGTCTCCTGATTATTAAGAGATGAAAAAAAAGACATCAAATGCCACCAAAATCTCTGCCACACCACAGCAAGCACACTAGCAGCTCAACGGTCTATACTCAGCTTTATCCTAGAGTGGAACACTCCAGGTTGAAAAAAAAACGCCATGTCTTTGTTTCTTCTTTCTTTCTTGAGGTCAGGAGTAGAAGAAAGTGATCTGGGGGAAAAAAGGCAGGAGGGAGACATAGAAAGAGACAGAGCCTGGGGAGAGAGGAACTAACTTGCTTTGATGCCTAGTACATGGTCACATAGAGGTCTTCACTGTTCTTGAAATGTAGGAGTGTCCTGTGCCAGCTGAGAATCCAGTCTCATAATGGCCACTCAAGAAATGCTCGTGGAAAAAAAGAAAGAAAGAAAGAAATGCTCATGGGATGAAGAGCCTGCAGCTCTCAAAGTGATGGAGATGACATCACTCCTGCCCTAGAGGGACTTGCAATTGAAAACTTCTGACACTAACACAGACAAAAATCGACAGGCTATCCAGATAATGCACCAAGAACTTGGAGCAATAAAATAAGTGCATACTCTGATTTCTTTAAAACATCATTTATATTGTAATCACAGACTGCTCAATTCCCAACCATCCTGAGTAACCTGAGTTCACAGACTATGAAAACGAAGTCACAATACATTTCGAAAACAGACTTCAGCAACATAAATATGAAGCCATTTTGAGCAGAGATGAGCAGGCCGTCTTTACAGAACCATTAGAAGGCATTTGTGAGTGAGCCGTGCATAAGAATTTCCTCTCAATTCTTTTGAAAGGTAAGTAAAATCTAAAATCGGCAGCTAAACTAGTCTCCACTTGGACACAGATTTAATTACTCTGGCTAGCTCAGAGGAGATCTAATGATTCTAATGGATTCTTAAACTGTCCTAAGTGGTTCTCCACACTTGGCTGTGTCCACAGCCACAATAGACTGAATTATCTCCATATGGAGAGGAAGCTTCACTGGGGGGTCAACAGGCAGTCTGACAACACCACTTCTGCACAGTGCACGGTCTCTCGCAGCAGCTGCTGTTACTTCCTAATGGCCTACACGCCCCTTCCTGCTATTCCTCATACTTCCCCACCACGCCTCTGAAGAGAAACCTACCACACGGTCTGAAAGTCTTCTCCTGAAGTCTTCTGGGATTGCTCCCCGGCCTCCTGCCCAGTGAGAAGCCCTAAAATGTAAAGAGGAGAGAAACGAGCTTATAAATACTATCTGGAGAAGCTAGACTAAATATTTTGTTAAAGGTGGTCTCCAGAGAGATGTCTGTTCATAAGGCAGACACGAACATTTCCACTAAGGATCAATAGTGCTGCACTGTGCTCAGCATTCAACGTGTTTCTGGGCACTTCCCTCACTGTGTGTACTTTTTCCGTCTACCTGTGGCTGTCTGTGTCATGCGATGCTGCTGCCAGCCCTGTTGTTATCCTTGCCTGAGAGCCGAAAGGACCAGTATATTAGCATCCTTCCTTTATGCCCTGTATCCAGGCAAAGACTTCCCCGGCATAGCAGTTCCGAGTGTGCTTTTCCTCCGTGCCTTTAACTCCACAATCAATGGAGTTCTGAAAGCACTGGCTCAGTATAAGCCAACCCCTCTCTGTGGGCTAAATCCCCGGGGAGAGTCTCCTGATTGTGTTTCCCAATACCCCAAACCTCTGCAGATCCAGCCACTAGAAACCTTGAAGCATCTGTGTATTGACTCTTCTGCCTGATACATTTGCCGGTGTCAGTCTCTCTTTCACTTTCTACCTTTCTCCATCTGCCCCACCTGTCCAGAAACGGTGTCACAGCAGCAATGTTTGGAAAGAGAAGGAGTACCACATAGTGGAACAGACACTGCTTTCATTTTCAACTTGTCCTTTAGTGGGAAAACTCATCAACCTCTGAACCTCAGGTATCATACAGAAAAAGAGCACAAATAATAGTATTCAGTTCACATGAGTGTAATAAAATGAAAACTGGGGCCTGGGGAGATGGTTCAGACTGGAAAGTGTGCTCTTGCCATGCAAATGTAAGGGCCTGAGTTCAAATCCCCCAGCATGTGTGAAACAACTGGGTCCAGCAGCAGTACCCACCAGAATCCCAGCGCCAGGGAGGCAGAGACAGACAACACCTGGGAGGAGGCAGGGGCAACACCCAGAGACAGGGGCAGGAGGAGTCCTGGAGATTTCTGGCCAGGCAGTTTAGCTTAAAGATGGAGTTCCAGCATCAGTGAGAGATACTGTCTCCGAAACTAAGGTGAAGAAGTGATTGACAAAGACATCTGACGCACTCAGGCAGGCATGCACACTAAAATAAAACCTAGAAAGAACCTTGCTCAAATCGGACATGCTCTAGGGTAGCCACTTTTATTTATTCTAATAAAAACCAGCTAGATCTAGAAGCTGGGGTTCTGGCAATCTATTTAAAAGAAAATTCTGCAAGTAATTCTAGGTTAGAGAAGCAGAGCTAACAATTATGTAAGCAAGTGTAGGATGTGGGAAGGGGAAGAGATGAATGATCGGGTCACAGACTGCTCAAGAAGCCGGAGTAGCCGTTCTGCAGACAACACATGATTTTGGAGGAGCCTGAACCCACACTTCCTCTGTCCACACGGCATCTCTCAGGAGCAGCCTGGCGCTTTCAGTGCCTCTGGGCTTCGGTTGTCCCTGCCTCTCAGCACATCCGTGGACTGTGTGCTGGCTGGCAACAGATTTACAACCGTGTGCTGCTGACGGAAATCTTTGACTGGGGCAAGCTGCAATATGACCCCTTTCTCCTTCAAGTTTATCATCAATCAATGGTGCTCTGCCAACTCTATCAAGAAGATCCTAATCTCTTTTGCCCTTACGCTTTTGCCTCATCTTCAGGAAAAGATGAGGCAGCAGTCGGGAGCTTCTGGCCTGTAAGTTCACAAGGACTTTTCACACAAGGGCAAACACCCAGTAGGTGTCCAAAAAGCCCCAGACTTAAGGGAGAGTAAACACTGATTGGTTGCAGGTTCCTTATGTCCCTGCGAAAGAAGAATTTCCTGTGAATCGACAAGGATGTCCGTGCCCTAGACTCTCTCTTTACTTTCTCCTGTGTTTGATCATAACTCTGTAAGATAATATTAGGATTCATGGAGCCCCACTCCACTCCGTTGATGGTGAGGATCATACCTAAATGAGTGACTGAACCTAAGCAAATGTCAAGGAAGTCACTTTTCAAAAGAACTGTGGGCTTCGTGACTTGTCCTTCCCTCACATTCCCGATCACCTCCGGGAGTGGCCACTGAATGGAGCTCACTGTCACCGCCCCACATTTCATTGTTTCCCATGTGCCTTTAAGGAATCATTCTTGATCGCAGTCATAAAATTGGAAAGCCACACAACTGACAAGATGATCCCCCAAGGCAGCTGAAATATGGGGTAGATTGAAACCGACAGTTAATTTGTAGCAGTAAAAAATAATGATATCATCATAAAACAAGTTTAAGATTAGACTAGGCTCAAACACTGTGCGCCCACAGGATATATAGATGGGTATTGTCAAGCTTAAAAAACAAAGCAAAACAAAACTGAACCTCCGGGTTTCGCCAAGCGCTCACCCTGTGCTCTTCTATGGTACACTACCGCCATCTGCTGGTTGGAGCCAATAAAAAGTATAGCAGTCTCCTAAATCCTGGAATATTCCACTCCGCAGAGCCTGTGTTAATTACTATGCACACGGAAACATATTTTTAACCTCCCAGTATCATTGGAAGGGTACAAATAAGTCAGAATTCCCTAGAATATCAAACAAGTGAGAGAACCAAAGAGACGAGAGATTGCCAAAAAACTCCCCAGCCTGATCAGCCTGACTCCAAATTACCCTTGCTGGGTGGGTACATCCCCAAGCATTGCCTTGTTAGCCCTGAGCTCTCCCTACCAGCGTTCCCTTTCTGCCTTCCTCCTCTCCAGCTGCCTTCTCTCCCAGGCATCCTACAACCGCACTTCAGTGATAGGCAAAGCAGCAGCTTTCAGCTAAAAACAGCCTCCTCCTGCAGATCTTAAGGAGGAAACCACTGACACTTGTCTTGTTCAGGGAAAGCAAAGCCCCAGTTGCATTAAGTGAGAAAAGAAACCGTGGGCTTTCAAAACCCACCCAGCAGCATTTTGCATGATTTCCTCGGGGTTTACCTTGCGTTATGTCTGGATGCTCTAACTTGGCAACAAGTGTCTTTAGAGGCAGAAAGGATAGAGGCTTTACACGCAAATAAAATTGAGCCACTATAAAACCCTCCTAATTTTATAGCATGTGCTCAATCTTACCATTTTAGACTCTGGGTTACTATCACCACAGGCCTCAGGATGCCAAACTCACTGGGAATAAAGGAGCCCTCAGCAAATCTTCCTTCTTCACCATGACTTGTGGGTTTTTTTTAATTGCCTACAATTTAAATTTCTTGTTTCATTCGCATGTAACAATAGTGTAATAAAACATTTTACAAAAGGCTTTCACATTTTTACCTATTTAAAAACCTTTTCTTGTCACTCATATCTTCGTGCCCATTATTTAAACACAATTGCCTTTAAGTAAATATCTAGGTTTTATTTGGTGGCGATGTTCCTCTGGGAGAGAGGCGCAGCCTGGTGTGGCAGATACAGGCTGCACACTGCAGAGCTGTACACACCTGTGACAGTCATGATTCCAGGCTAAACTGTGTCCTCCTGGATTGGGTCATGCTTGCAGCTTCCTAAACCAGTAGCCCACTGTCCTAAACATTCTGAAATGTTCAGAGAATACTGCATCTACCGCCCCATCACTCCCTGCCTCCTCCATGCTGCGACTTCATAAACTTACAGTAAACACTGACTGAACAAGAGTCTTGAATAAAATTTCCATTTAAGTTATGCTAATATACTAAATGCATTTACAATCACTTTCTGCATGTTCTTGTCATGCAACGCCATCAAAAGAGCCAGCGTGAAATTACACTAAAATAAAATACGATTATCTGTCTTATCAAATAGCAAAGGGTTTCAGCAAAGAGTAATACCATTTTAATGCTAGCAAAAGAAATCTTACATGGGTGCAGTTTGGAGCAGCCCTTCTGGAGAAAGAGCTTTTAAGTATCCTGCAGTTTGTTCATTCCATGACTAGACTTTCATCATAAAAGAGGCATTGCTAATGAGTACCACAGTAGACATCACCCGATCTTGTCCACCATAGGAAAAGCTGTAGTATTCAAACATGCTCCCTCCCCAATGTGTCATTGTCCTTAACTCTGGAACCTGTTAAGTGACCTTACATGACACAAAGGACCTTGCAGATGAGAATAGGATAAAGGTCTTGAGATGGAACTGTTTACCATGGTCTATCTGGATGTGACCGGAGAAATCTCAAATGTCCTCCTAAGAGGGAAGCAGATGCCTAAAATCCTAGAAGGCGATCAGATGGCAGGGGTTGAAGTGGTGACCGGAAAGTAAAGGAATTGCCCAAGTCAAAGGATGTAGGCAGCAGCCTCTTCAGCAGTGTTTCCAACCTGTAGGTCACAACCCCTTTGGTAAAGCTCTATCTCTAAAAAGCATTTACATTACAATTCATAACAGTGGGAAAATTACAGTTATGAAGCAGCAAAGAAAATAATTTTATGATTGGGGGTCACCACAACATGAGGAACTGTGTTAAGGGGTCACAGCATTGGGAATGTTGACAACCGCTGCCCTAGAGGCTAGAAGGGAAACAAACTACTCTACAGTCACACCTTGACTTTAGGCCTCCTCTCCTCCAGAATAAAAGATGAATTTGCATTATTTTAAACTACTGATATATAAAAATGTATTGGCATAGCAATAGTACATGGCTATGCCATCCAGCTTATCAAGACACAGAGAATCAGTGTGGCCAATTTAACAGGTTACGGATCCAAAAACTTAGAAGATCTAAGGGTTGTTTTGTTCTAAGATTTTAAACTAATGTTTTTCTTTTGATGGTTATGTCAATATAATGATGTCATGGATCATCTGGGAGACAGCACTATGATCTCACAGCCCAAGTTTGTGTTTATAGGGGCATCAGTGTCCACAGACGTTCCCAGCAGTCCCACCATCATCCTGAACCACTTTATCATTTGGTAAATGGCTGTCAATGTCAAACTGACATTGGGCGCTGCCATTTTTGTATCTAGTAAGAATAAATTTAGTGGAAAAGAGTTTGATTTAAA